GGGGTGGAGGGGGGGTGGTGACAATAAGAATACATTTCACTCATCGCATAGTCCTGTTCCTGTCCACTCAGCATGCTTCAGAAGTAGTGGCTAATAATGGATTATCTACATTGTCGTTTAACTTCGGTCTGTCGCATTTTGGCCTTCATCACTTAACAATTAATTGGCCATCGCTAATCCATTACTCGGTCGGAGCTTATCGACAGAATGCATCTTGTTTTCCTTATCACTCCCAAGCTCATAAACATAAAGGGAGATGTTTTCCGATGCTCTCCTTGGGCGGGCAGAGGATGGGTGTTTGAAACTTCTTAATGGTAAACATGTATTCTGATATCTCTCGCCCTTTGCCAGTCTTAACCAACTCGGTTAAATAGATGCACGCTGATGAATAGTGAGCCAATAAACATTGAACTGTGAATTGTGCTTTTAGACTGCTATTATAATACCGTTTATTTTATATTTTTTTCCTCAAAGGAAACCGCCGGTCGATTTAGCCATGCTACTTGTCTCTACATCACTGTGGTGACTGAGAGGGTTATCAGCAATTTCCTGAAAGTGAGTTTATGCCAAATTCACTACTCCAACTGCGAGCCTGAGATACTAGTTTTATATTCCACTCCGTCTCTTTAGTTCGTCATAGACTTCGAGGAGCTTGCGCAATTTAAGAGGGTCATTAGTGCTGGTACTATCCAGGTACGTTCCCCTCTCCTATATATATATATATATATATATATATATATATATATATATATATATATATATATATATATGTAATGCAGTATAACATCATGTTATCATAATCCCATATTAAGCAATAAATTAAACTCCCTCTGTCTCTCATTGAATTTGGTTTTAACACATTCTGCAAATCCTTTGAGTATGGCCAACAGATCCCGTTAACTTGGTATTCATTGCCCTCTATGGTTTTAGCATTTACTCTAAATAGGCCTAGTCGTTGAGAAGTTTGATTGGGGGCGAATCTCCTTCGATCATTTTCCATTTCTGTAACTAGTACGTGGTGCTGTTACCAATTCAAATCCACTCAACGTGCATCTACGAGTTTTAACCCCCCGTGTCAGATGGCCTTATCACTACACTTCTTCCCCATACTATTGGGCCTTTGTAGCTGAAGAGCAATTAGTAAAATCACGGGCTGATTGGTTATCTATAATTTTTTTTCGAGTACACCTCTGCGTTGTCTTTCTAATGGCTTCCCCGCTAGTCTTGTGAATATTTACCACAGTGGCTAGAGTTCTCTTAGCAACTACTTTGCAATGCAACATGCATTGAGGTAGAGGTTGCTAGGGGAGAGAATAATGGTTATTGATAAATCTAAGGCCAAGGAAGAGAGCGTGTATGAGATAAAGGCCCAAAGCGCTACGTTGAGTTATGCGAGAGAGCGATACACGGCCCTGTGTGTGATATCATGTGATTCTCCTTCATCCATATATGCACCATGTGCGGCCGTGTTGCATACGTCCAGGTAGCGCAGTTCCGTGTGCTTGTGGTGTCCAACACGGTGTGAATTCACACTTTTCTCTCTCTCTCTCTCTCTGTGTCCCTCCAACCCCTTGAATCAGCACTAATGCTGACATCTAGAACAGCAAGGGAATGGCCTCATTTCGTTTACAGAGAATTTCTATCATAGATACCGAGGAAAAAAGGGAAAGAGAGGAGGGGGGGAGGTATTCTTGTTTTAGCTCATCTCGTTTTTGAAGGCGCGGCATGTGTGTATCTTCTCATTAATCTCCCTAAAAGTGCATATCTAGGACTCGTAGATGTAAATTACAGTTGACGTCTTATAATTGGGTTTCTGTACAAGTTAAAATTTATGCCTTTTGTAACTTTGCCGTTGTCCTTTATTGGAGCCACAGCTGCTTAGGCTCAGTGAATAGGAAAAAAGGGGGGGGGGTGGACTTACAGCTCAAACTACCGATTTCTTATTAGTTAAATAATTTGATTTTATTGGCTTGAAATAACTGATTAGCCGATAATTGTAGTGATGGCTTCTCTCCACAGATGGTCCTACTTATTCGGGCATGATCGTGGGAACTAAATAATCGATAATTCGATGAGCGAAAAAATGGAATTTGCATGTTGCTCTCCAGTGCAACGAGAATATTCGATTTGGCTTCCTAACAAGACTTCTCACCCACTTTGTTGTATGAATCGGTGGCAACAAAACAATGCCTAATGATACATTAACTCTTGAACAATCGGATATGTGACTACTATAGGTCAACCTCATAAGCACTGACGACGACGATAATTCTTTCCTTGCACATATTTGACAGGGACGCAGGAACTTAGTTGTCCATCTGTGTATGCAGCGAGGGGACCCCATTCCAGCTTATGAACTCACAATAGGGATCAAAGGTATTCCATCTCTTTTCTGCCACTGTCGAATCCGCCAGTCAGCCGCACAATCACTACGTGATCTATGGGGCCCTTAAATTAGAGATACTACCTTTAACAGGAGTAAACACAAATCAGTGCAGCGATGAAAAAAACTCCCACCCCAAGGCACGAGATGGAAGCTAATTGTTTATTTAAAGAACCCAGCCTCGCCTAAATATTAAAATGATTTGGTGAACAACAAGCCCATCTGTCAAAAGAGGCAAACGTACAAAAAGATGTGCTTATGTGTACACACATACAAGGAGAAGGAGGAGGAGGAGGAGGGGGCATACACTGCCCCTGGGCACACATCTGGCCTTTCTGTCTTCGCTCTCTCCAGGCCTTCTGGCCTCGATTTGTTCGTGTAAAAGTAGGAGTTGGTGACTAATTTGGACAGGTATTGAGACAGGCACTAGGTAGCTAGCTAACACTGTAAAGAATGACACTTCCACTGTCTAATCACGTGTACACACTTCCCCGTTTGGGTGTTGGGAGAACAGAATCATGTGGAATGGGACGGATATGACTGGCCACTTTTTCTTTCTAGGCTTTCTGGCTTCGGGTAACAAATCATGTTAACAACGAACTAAAAAGAAACTCAATAATAAATTAATTTGTACAGATTGAGAGAAAAAGACAGGCAATAATACTTCCTTAAGCGGTGAGGCACTTAGTACCGGAACGATCTTGGTCACTGAATCACTTCGCCACACATATCTCGTCTATCGACCACTTCCCCACATTTTTTTGTTTTAACATCAATCCATCGAAGCTC